GAGATGTACAAAAGCTGAGATAATGTTGACAAAGTGGTGATAATTTCAAGCAAATATGCCACAAGATTCTCCTTTGTTACACTCTATGCCTATCATGTTTTCTTAAATATTACTTCCAAATAAACAAGGCAAATCCATGTCCAGACATATTTCTGAAATTAAAGAAAAGAAAAACTCCACAGACACAGGAGAAGAATATTAAAACTCAACACTGCTGTAGTAATCATCTTATTAAAATGATGTCTTAAAGAGAAACTTACCTGGTCAAAATGAGCCGTAGCTTTACTCCCCAGTTTACAGATAAAATTCCACCAGCTCTGCAGCTTGACTGCCGCCAAAGCCTCCGTCTTAGCGTTGTTAACTCTGAACACCTGCATCACCAGCTTGATTCTCTTTGGGTCCCCTATGATGTCTGGAATTTAATGAGGTATTAATTTTTTTATACAATTTTTTCTTTTCTTTTTTGCAAATATATTGAAGATCATAAATGCATTTTGTGATTTTTTTTTGTATAAAAAATAATTATGAATAGTCATTTGTATTTCTTTACAACCATTTCTTATGTTTTCTAGTTGTTTCAAATGTGTAGAATTATTTAATAATATTTCAATTCTTATGTACTTTTCAATCTTCTAGTTTTATACTAAATCTGTCATAAATTCTATGGCACAATAATTGTATCAGGCTAATCACACTTATTGTCTATCTTAAATCTTGCACGCACATGCTTATACACATGCATGCAAACATGCACGCCCACAAAAACTTACTAGGATCTGAAGCAAAGTTCTCCACCAGGTGATCCCAGGCATGAAAGGCTGCCATCTTGGCCTCTGTTGACGAGGACTTGAAACCTGCCTCTATTACCGGTAACATCAGGTTAATGAAGGAGCCATGGTGAAGAACCTGTACAAGAGAGACATGGTGGGAGGTTATATGATTGTCTGTTATTTGACCGTCTATTTTCCATGAAATGCTACACTCCAAAATTGGTCTAAACTATACGACCAAAATTTCGACTTGGGGGACATTTCTATCTGTGAAAGGATGTTACTCAGACATCTGAAACTCAAGCCACTCGGAACCTTTACAGTAAAATATTGCACTATATGAGAGAATGAGGCAGAAATATTGCTTGTTTTCAGGTGTTCCAAATTTGTGAGTAATACTATTTATTTGTAATTTTTTTTACCATATTTTTTTTTTCATTTTTATTTCTATAATAATCATTATAATATGATATCACAAAGCACTTTACCCACCTTGCCAAGTAGCTGGACAAAATATGACCAGACCTTGAGGATAAAAACTTCATTCCTAGACGCCATCAGTTTCCTCATCTCAGGGACAATGTGCTGAATGAATAAACAAATGGATGAATGAATGCAAAATGACTGAATAAATCAATACTTAAGGTACAATTAATAAATTAATTAATAATGAGATGATTATTTTTCAACTTACAACATCTACCAACATTTTATAATATATTATAGCAATAAAATCCAGGCTGTATTTAGTGATAGTGTTTTTCTGTATGTAGTGTTTTGAAGGCAGTGTCTGACATTAAAATAAAGGACATAGACTCTTTAGTCATTTTTTACCTTTCTTAGAAATTTCCATCCTATTTCCCTATAGATCTCTTTTTTTCTTCAGTATTATTTTGCACAATATGGATTCACAGAACATTAGGTCTATTTCTAATCGAAATGTATTACACTACTGTCACAAAAAGTCAAGCAACAAGATTACATAGAGGGTTAAAAACTTACAGCCTTTAAGTCGGGAATCAGTGTCTTTAAGATAGCTTCCTGATGCTGCATCATATACGAGAAGCCCATCTCCATGGCAACTAAGGCACGCTCGCGCACTTTCATGGCAGGATGCACGAGTAGGGGATACACGAGACAACACCAGCGCACCACGTGCTTTGACATGTTCATGGGAACTTGTTCTAACAGCCTGGAATGTTATGTGCTGTGCATTACGTATGAATTGAACAATCCAGAAAAGCAATAGTAGGTTGTCCGTTTCTATTTCATATTATCTTGACATCCCAAGGTACTGATAAAAACACAATTACACTCAACTTTAGAGACAATCAAAATGTTATTTGGAAATTGAATATCAAATATTAACCCCATTCTCTAAACATAAGAATTTTTCAAATCTGTAAAATGTGTCCTGAGAAAGACATGTTAGAGTTATAGAGATACAAATTGCCAAACCTATAATAAACATATATCTCAGACATGAGCCTGGATTTAACAAATTCCAATTGCTATGTGAAGAACACTTGTAGTGTCCCATCATAATTGAATTAACAATATCACAATATCACCAAAACAATTAAAAAAAAAAAAAAATTCACCAAAACAGCCTGCTCTCAGGTCTTACCTCACAATGGCATTAATTGCCTCGTGTTCCACTGTGACAGACTGAAAGTCCTGTCCACCAAGAGCATGCTCCAGTCCACACAGGACAGTGTGAATCTGAAAGTAGATAATATTTTGTATCTTAAAACATCCTGAAAATGCACGAGGCACCAAGATATTTTTGATGACATATCAGAACTTCTGGCAAAATACAGTAGACTTTAGGTGGGATCTTTTTAAATGTTGACATTGACTGTTCCCTCCATTAGTTTCTTACATGTTCAGGGCTCCCCTTCTATCCCACACTATCTTTAGGAAAATCTTGTAAGTGACAAGCACTATAGTACACAAAATCTTCATCAAAAAGCTAAATATAAGTAAAAATTTGTAACCCATATGGTGTCAGCACTTTGTTTGTTTGTTTGTGCACAAGTCATCTAAAACAGTCCTTCACTATATTGGATACAATTTTCAAAATGTAGAGTTATTAAGAAGGAAAAGAAGTGAACACCATTTCAACCTTCAACTAATTATGAAAAATAATTATTTTCCCATTACTATCCCCTCACCTCCTCAGCCACGACTTCCTGATGAAAGTTTTGTTTAGATAAACACCACAGAGCTCTGGTACACGTGCTTTTATCTGCAGACTTCAACAACACGGCACACAGGTTCTTCAAGATAATGGAGCACTCTTGTTGAGAGAGGGAACTGAAATCAGGAAGTAAAACTCAAGGTTGAAGATGTTTTTGAGGTTTTTGAGGCTTCCGAGTTAACAAACTGGTCTTTTGCTGGTATTGCATTTCAACTGTCAAAGAAACTGATATGTTATGCTGTTACAGTGATATTACTGGTTGTATGTTACTGAAAAAATCTGGAAAACAGATCTGGATGTTATTTTTATTGTGCAAGATGAAGATAACAAAAAATATTGAGAGAAGAGATGTAACAATAAGGAAAATAACAAAAGGTATTGAGAGAAAAGAAGTGAAACACAAAATAAACCTTTTATAGGAGTATTTTGTAACCATTCAGATAGTTCTCCTACAATGAAATCGAAATTCTATTACTACAACTTACCCGACAATGACGTCATCATGTGAACAGAAGCCGAGGACCTGAAGTGCATTCTGGGATATCTCAATGTTACCATCCATAATGTCCCTGGACAGACACTTGGCCATCTCCGCCACATGAGATGAGATCTCCTTCACAAACATGCCCATCTCATCTTGTCGCAGACGCCTGAAGTGGGAAACAATTTATCATCACCATGACAGTAAATGGGAGTTTTTTCAGAACGCAAGTTGTCAATATTTTGCCTAAGCTACAGAAGTAAGTCAAGTGACATTTGTTCATAGGATTTTAATTATTATTAACATTATTATTATATATTTATCTTTTAATGCAAAAATGCTTACTCCATGATGGTCAAGTAGGCGTCCACTCTGTCCTCCTGCCTGGCCACTTTGCTGTTGATGGTGGACAGCAGCTGCTCCAAGCCTCCACCCTCATCTAATATTGTCACCATCATACTGACCTGAAGTGGACACGACATATAGCACTGACCAATATTGTTCTATTGGGGGAGTTGCATGTTTAAAAAGAATTACAGTCTCAGCAACCCCACTCCATTTTCTCATTGTCAATTATAAACGCATCAAAACCCATACTTAAAAAGATTCTGCAGATATTATTGACTTTGAGAGTTGTGACAAATGCACAAGTAAGCACTTCTCACTCTTCTCTGCAGATGTCAATTCTGTACATCAAAACAACTGTTACTGGTCTGGTTTCAATGGCTAATGTCACATACTATCTCATATATTCTTCTTTAATACAACACACTTTCTATCATTTTGAGTATTTCGTCTACTTCGGACTGGATTGGACAAAAACAATGGACGGGCATGTTACAACATGGCTTCGCTAGTCATGCTATGCAAAGTTGTAAGGCTTAAAACTCTTCATTTCAACATTAAATTAATAGCGTCTTTTCTGGTAAGACAGCTTAAAGTATATAAAATAGCACTTGCTCTTACCTGTTAATTTGTACAGAGAGATTGTTTACAAAATCATTTTGAGCTTGCAGCAAACACTGTACACACGCTGAATTTCGCGGGAAAACGTCACATCCCGCGTAGCAGGATGCTCGCTGATTGGATAAAATATCTAGGTCAGTTATTTTGGTCAACAGATATAGGTCATCAAGGTGAACATGTTTTGCTGAATTATAAACATATGAAAAGCCCTGATAACGGAAAGGTATAGTATCGCAAAATAGAATTTTCTTGCTATGAGCTGTTAATGTGAAAAATCACGTGGCATTGCCATGCATTTTTGGGTGTGAAAGTTAGTAACCTTTACAGTAACATAAGGTTGGTAGGTAAGTAAATGAAAATAATTTTTGATAAGTTCAGTGTGCCTAAGCATCCAATTAAGCAAAATAAACATAATGCACTCAGTAGTAATAATATGTGATATATTTTCAATGACACTAAGACCTCTTGTTAACATTGCCGATAGGGGAGTCAGTGCATTTTAAGCCGTAGCCACCTATCGAATAAAATCCGAACTACTGTGAAATCTAAAAATAGTAACTGGAGATTGCTTTCTGATTCGCTGTTAAAAATAGAATATCAACAGTGACAACATGGAAGTCAATGATCGGTGAGTATATAAAGAAAAACTTCTAATTTTGACGCTGTATGCTTGTTGATTTTTATATAAAGGTGCTGGAAGAGAAACGATGTATTAATTAGACGACAGACAGTAGTTTGGACTTGTGCAGAAAAACTACGATTTTGGTGAAAACATTGTATGTTGGTCGCTTAATTTCCATTTCTCAATCTCTGTCCACACCAGTATTTACTATAAAAGCGACAAAGTCGAATATTTTATCGCAAAAATGGCCACGCCTGTTATTGATGTTTATATCAAACTACCATCAGGAAAAACTACAACAGTGAATCTTCTACCGTCGGCACAAGTGGTAAAGATCTACGAGCATGTCGCCAAAGAAGCGGGGGTCGGCGTGGGGCAGGTTCAATTGAAATACACAGGGAAAATCTTGAAAAAACAACACACGCTCGGATACCTGGGTGTCTGCAAGGAGACTATATTGAAAGCTGAGGTAAGTGGTTACCTGTAATATCGGTAAATGCATGTGATATTTAATTGAAATTACATTAGAATTGACTTAAACAAGGATTAAAACTCAGGGAAGGACATATGAATATAATTTTTACATCAGATTTTAAGATTTTAATTTGCAGGCATATGTAGGTTTTATGTATTCATCAAGTTCATAAAAGTACAGAAGATTACATTGTATGTCATAGTTTTTGACATTCTGCCTCGTTGAGTCTCCCTCATGTCTGTACTTATAATTATAAGATATAAAGTGTAGAAATAAAAGAAATGTAGGTTTAGCTTATAGTTACTGATATTCTCATACATTTGATTAACTCCAGGTAATTCCTTTGAAGAAGATTAATATATATGTGAAGAAGACAGGTGGAGAAACATTGCCTCTCACCATAGACAACACTTCCACTGTGCAGGAGATTAAAAATCAACTGGAAGTGAAAACTGACTCTGAGCCAGCAAAACAGATACTGAAGGTAGGTGAATTCATGTAGATTTACAAGTTTTGTATTTTATTATAATCTTTATGTATTAATTGTACACACTGGAAGTTGTTATATGCATTGATTGGAATGTATAATGTCAATAATTATTATTATTATTATTATTATTATTATTTACTTACTTTTGAAACTTTGGATTTTCAGTCATATAGAATAAGATATTGGAAATTAAATTTCATTCAAGATAAAGAGAAAAATAATTCCTCAAAAGAAAGATATAGCTCATTGTTTATATGAAACAATTGCTATAATAGTGTTAAACTTTGGACATGTGGCTGATATTTTGGTTTATCTTATCAATTATCAATGCATTTCATGACATATTTGAAAGTTTATCTTCTTTAGGAGTTATTAATTAATATCCAACCTAAATGTGGAATTACAGTGACCTTAGATAAGATAAAGGTTTCCTTAGCCAATAATCATACAAAATATATTGCATAAGGAGTAAGTGCTCTAAATGTAAAAGCACTGTTGTGTTGAAAAAACTGTATGATTAAAAAAAAGGTTTAAGGCTTTGTATTAAGAAGGAATATATAAAATCATTTACTATACCATTAAATGCTCAGAGCTTAAAAACTAAAGTTAGAAGTTTTGAGCAGGATAGAAACTGTCACTCATGATTGACACAGAGACTGTTTAATTTACTATATACCCTCTCAAGGTAAGTGAGATCCCCAATGTTTGTGTTAAGGGAATTTTAATTGTTTTAATACATCATGATTTCAGTTGTCAGGTGCGCTGCTGAAAGATAACAAAGAAACAGCCATCGAGGCCGGGATACACGACGAGGCTCTTCTGACTCTGGAGGTAAAAACAGCACCCGCGGAGGTTGTAGAAACAACAACAACTGTAGATGATACTGCCAGTGCGACGCAGATAGATGAAGAAATTAGCGAAGAAGATAGAGAGGTATAGTACTGTTTCAGGCCTACCCAACTACCAGACTCGGCACCGAATCATCCAGAATTCACCGGTAGATCAGACCACACTACCCGTTTTCAAGGTGTGTATCAGATCGCATTACACAGTATCATACCCTGAACAAATTTTGAGTGGTGATGCAATGCTTTTCAACCCCGCTGAGAATCGTCACTATCACATCGCGTACTAGGCAATAGCATTGTCGCGTCTAATACTATGTAATGCGATCTGATACACACCTTGAAAACGGGTAGTGTGGTCCAATTTACCGGTGAATTCTGGATCATTCGGTGCCGAGTCTGGTAGTTGGGTAGGCCTGTGTTTTGTGAATGCTGTAATTGTGCTTTGAAAAATTAAAGGTTTTCTTCTTATTCTTATTATGAACAATACTTCTTCCTCAGGATTTCCTGAATTAAAAGTCATGTCACAATTGCAAATGAAAAAAAAATTTTTTGAAAAAATTGTTACAAAATATTTTTGGTGTTAATGTGCATCACAGTATTTTAATTCTATTTATCAAGGCAGTGCTGTCCACGTTTGATGCGGCAGGAAGGGCAGTAGAAGTCGTCTTTTCTTTCGACACCACTGGCAGCATGTATTCAGTGCTTACTCAGGTAAAAAGATGTCTAAGAAGTATTCAGAATTCATTTTCTTCTTTTCTGACACAAAAGGTTTTGTTTTCATTGGTTCTGGTTTGATAGTAAATTTTGAAAACTTTAAAATCTTTTAAAGATTAACGATACTTCTTGTTATAATTCAAAATTTAATGAAATGCATTGGTAATTATTTTTAAGAAAATTAACAAAACTTTTAACTTAACTTATATTAATACAGGACATTTTGAACACTTAAGACATTTGGTCACAAACAATTCATCACACACTGAAATGCGATGTCTAATCAGTTGATGTCTTCTGATCGTAGGTTAGAACAAAACTGAAAGACACAGTGACCAGACTGCTCCGAGACATCCCAAACATCCGTATTGGTATCATAGCCCACGGAGACTACTGCGACTACAACAAATATGTCCTGCGATCAGCTGACCTGACCTCTAGCGTGGACACTCTGGTGGACTTTGTCGAGACGGTGCCTGTCACATCTGGAGGTGACACACCAGAGGTAACTGCCTTGTTTATTTATTTATTTATTTATTTATTTATTTATTTATTATCTTTGTCTTTCCATTTATTTATTTTGGCTTTTAGTGAAAAGGGTGTGAAATGTTTCAAGAGAAATAAAACTCATTTTAGAGGGTTATTTGTATTTAGGAAGGGAGCCAAAGTCAACGAACCTCTTTAAATGAGAGAACTTTCTTACCACTCCAAACTGTATTCTTAATTAAAGTCAGAACTTTTTTCTTGTATATTTCTTCACTAACACAGACAAAAGAGAATATCATTTACATTTTAACAAGACGTCATTATGATTGGTGACTCTTTTCATCTTATTGTCAAATGAAGTTTTGCATTTAAATATTTAACTTCATTCGATCTAACCACCAGAGAATTTATTTTGTATAAATTATATGTGATATAAGAGATGATCGAGGCAGTGGAGTAAATGTTACCCTTTTTTTTTTTTCTTTTCTTGTAGTGTTACGAGTGGGTCCTGAGAAAAGCTCAGCAGCTGGACTGGGCAGAAGATTCCGCCAAGGCTCTCGTCGTGATCGGGGACTGTGAGCCACACCCACCATCGTACACAGACCAGAACATTAACTGGCATGATGAACTGGATGTCCTCTCTGGAATGGGGGTCAAGGTCAGCATAGAGTCAATGTCATTTAAAATACAGTATGGTCAAGGTCATTTGAATGTCTTGTATAACCTCAAGGCCATATGGCTTTAGTTTAAGTATTTTTGTATCAAGTTAAAAGATGAATATTAACAAAATAAGCATTGGTGAATAATGTTTTCTTTGGTTATTGATAAAAAAATATTTTACTTTATATATTTATTTATTTATCTTTGTTAATTTTTATTTGTTTTCTAAATCATGTAGATTCATCAAAACATAAAACAGTGATAAAATGGTCTTAAGTTATGTTTCCTCCCCAAATGTAGGTGTATGGAGTACAGGCCATGAATAACACAGACGTTAAGGATTTTTATCAGGAGCTAGCAGAGAGATCAGGGGGAGCTTACATCACGTTTCAGCAGTTTGGGCTCATCACTGACATGTTCTTAGCAGGTAAAATCCCTCTGGTAAAATAAACAGTCATTTGTAAAGAGATTAAATCCCCCCCCCCAAAAAAAAAAAAAAAAAAAAAATTCTTCGACCTATCCCTTTGAAACTGCAGGTACAGAATTACTCTACAAAATAAATTTTAAAAATAATCTAAATATTACTTTTGGAAACAGAACAGGGAGGGGTTCCTCCATCATGGAGAAAAATTCAGACCCTGATATTGATTGATTATTGATTGATATTGAAAATATTGATTTGATTTCAGTCTGTTACACTCAGGCGGGCTCAGAACAGCTCCAGGCATTCAGTGAGGAGATGGAGATGACCGGCAGGATGACAGAGGAAGCCAAGGCTATGTTCTCCCAACTAGAGGAGGTCAAGGTGAAGGAGGACACAGAGACAGATGTGGAGAGACATAGGGAAACTCAACAGGTAAAGAGAGTTATGGTATTGTGTGTGTGTGTGTGTGTGTGTGTGTGTGTGTGTGTGAGAGAGAGAGAGAGAGAGAGAGAGAGAGAGAGAAAGCTAAGTTAAACACAGAGCAACCACAAAAATAGAGACAGGCAGACAGTGTGTGAGAAAGAGAAAAGATAAAAAGAGAGAGAGAGACAATTTAAAGAGATAGCAACTGTTCATTTTGGCCAAAAAAAAAACATCTTTAAAAACTTGATGTTATCAGATTCTTCTTTTTCAAAATTATATTAAATCATCACTCTTGTTTTAGAATTTACCAAATCAACCAACTGAATAGATTGCAAATTTTTAAATATGGCTATTTATTTTCAATTTTTAATTAATAATTTTAAATCTTGTTCCCTTATTTACAGCGGTATAAAAAGTGTGACTGGTGGGACGTGACTTTGGACCATGGCTCTCCTCAGTACACCTACGATGCCCAGCGTGACACATGGTCGCCTTTCACAGGTGAGAAATCGTCCTCCTCGTCCTCCTCTAGCTCTTCCTCTCACCACAATCCTATGATGGTGATGTCACTCAAACGTGAGGAGGAGGATGGCAGTGTCATAGCTACAGGTAAAAAAGGATGTATGAAATATATATATATATATATATATATATATATATATTTTGTCTTTGAATTTTTGGAAATGGATATTAATGCATTTAATAATCTATTTTTATTGTATTTATTTATTCCCATGGTAACAGAAGTTATATTTTGGTTAAAAGTGTAGCAATTTGACAATTTCAGTCTCTTCAGTAGATTATTTCAACCCTTTTCATTATTAGTCCCATTAATTTTATTAATTACATAGCACATTATTCTCAAATTTTACTAACTATCTTCAATCTCATTTTTTTTTCAGAGTCAAAACCCAAAAGATGGTCACTACGGAAATCATTCAGAAAATGGTTCAGGAAATGAACTTGTAGTTTTGTGAAAACCTATTAAAATATTCTAAGACTAGAAATACATGGAGAGATGACACCAGCAGCCGCAAGTGGTTTCACTTTGTTGATGGTTCTACTTTCTGGTCAAAATGAAACCATACAATGTAGCACTGTAGCTGCTTTATAAACATAGCAGTATCAAAGGCAGGGGACACAGCAGATGCTGAGTTTTAAAAATGGTGTTTTGCTTAAAAACTGGTGCATGTAGATCAACATTGAGCACATGAAGAAAGTTTTTTTAATTTTAATTATTTAATTGGGTGTTATGTTTAAAGATGTTTTTGAGACAGTTATTCGAACTGAAAACTGGTGCATGCATTCATGGAGACTGCATTAGTTATATATTTATGACTGAAAACAGGTCTGCCAGTTCATGCATTCATGGAATATTTCTGGAACTTGACTACCTTAATTGCATGTGGATGGGTCATTTACAGAGACTGTCTACATACCAGGGTTGATTGATAAGTAGTGAGCCTCATATAGAAGGGGTACTCATTTTACAAGTATTTTTCTTTATTTTTCAACATAGTCTCCTTGAGTATCTATACACTTTTGCCAGCGAGTTTTGAGAGCATCTATGCCACTTTTATAGAAGCTCTTCTCTTGGCCATTCAGAAACCCCTCCACTTCACGTATGATGTCATCATCTGACACAAAGTGAGTACCTGAAATGGCCTTTTTCAATTTGGGAAGTAGATAATAGTCAGAGGGAGCAAGATCAGGTGAATAAGGTGGATGTTCTATCAGTTCAAAGCCACACTCTTTGATTGTAGCCATGGCAATGACAGACTTGTGAGTAGGGGCATTGTCCTGGAGGAACAGTACACCTTTCCTGAGCTTTCCGCTGCCTCGTGGACATAAACTAACCAAATGACACCAAACTTCGGCTACATATGTATACCTTTAAATAGTCAGGGAATAGAAGGGCTGAAAAGGGATATCCCTGCTTAACCCCTTCCACACGAGGCTCACTACTTATCAATCAACCCTCGTATATCAGACACTTTACTGACTGAAGAAGTAAAATTCTTCTGTTGGCCTGCATGAAGAGCAGAAAAAGGGGGAACACTTTGTTCTGATCTTCCAAAGATTACTTTTTTAAGAAATCTGAATGCTCCCTCTGCAGCCTTTGACTGTGCAATTTCATTTTTATACTAGTATATTGCATAATATGGCAGACCATCTATGGTTACGTAATAAAACAAAACATACTTTGAAATGAAATATTATCTTCCAAGTGTACTTTTTAAGAAATATATAAATAAAAAAATTAGAAATGCGCCCTCTGCAGCCTTTGACTGTGCAATTTCATATGTATATATATTGCATAATATGGCAGACCATCTATGGTTATGTAATAAAACAAAACATACTTTGAAATAAAATATGATTTTATTAATAATGTATCTTTGTACTTTATTGCATCAAAGAGTTTTAAATGAAAATGAAGCATCCTTTATGTGCCACCCGAAATTAATTAATTAGCCAATATATATATATATATATATATATATATATATATATATATATATATATATATATATATATATATATATATATATTTTTTTTTTTTTTTTTTTTTTCAGTTATTCAATTCATTAACTTGCAATGGTGGCAGTTAAAGTTAAGGAATTTAAAGTTTTCATTGCATCTACCAGTAATAAAAAGGCAAGCTAGGAATGCTAGAAACCGCTTCCCTTTACTTTGTACAGATGACATTTGTCCTAAATACTAATGTGGCTTGTCTTGACTAATAGCATCGAACACGAGTTCCTTACCCTTTTCACTGACACCATTGGCTCTTTGTAACACAGTTGAAGCCAGTGAAATGATTCTTTTACGGTTGTAAGCGGAAAGGATCAGATACCATCTCTGAAATTTACTGAAGGATGTTTCCGAGGGGAATCCGATGAGATTGCAATGCTTCGTTCACATTAAGTTCACTTCATCTTCACGAACTGTTACCTTAAAAACAATTCATTCCGAGCAGTTGTTGTTTATACCCCCAGGGGAGCTTTGTGTCATTCATCACTGTGATCAAACATCAGGTCTTGTTTTTTTACCCTCATTTCTTCGTTGTTCGCAAAAGCAGGTACATGTACTTCGACTTCAAAGATTTTTTTCACTTTGCTGAACAGTAAAACAACAGAAAAGCTTTATTGGTGGAAATAAAGTCATCCATGAGTAGCACTACATATACATGGACCTGCAGAAAGCAGGGTATATATTCTAAAACTAAGTCAAGAGAAGCAACACGGATGTAGATGATTTGATACGTCAATGAAAAGTCGATGAAAAGGAATGAAATGGCTGGCATTGGAGAAAAACCATTCAAATGCCAGTATTGTGAAAAGAGTTTTAGTGTCAAAAGAGCATGTGTACGACATGAAAGGACCCACACTGGAGAAAAACCATTCAAATGCCAGTATTGTGAAAAGAGCTTTAGTTTTGAAAGAGCTTGCAAACGACATGAAATGATCCACACTGGAGAAAAACCATTCAAATGCCAGTATTGTGAAAAAAGCTTTACTGTCAGAGATAAATGTAAACAACATGAAATGATCCACACTGGAGAAAGACCATTTAAATGTCAGTATTGTGAAAAAGGTTTTATTGAAAAACGGAATTGTATGCAGCACGAAAGGACCCACACTGGAGAAAAACCATTCAAATGTCAGTATTGCGAAAAATGCTTTAGCATTAAACAAAGGTGTACACAACATGAAAACAATCACACTGGGGAAAAAACATTTAAATGCCAGTATTGTGAAAAGTGTTTTAGTATTAAACAGAGTTATATACAGCATGAAATAAACCACACTAGAGAAAAACCATTCAAATGCCAGTATTGTGAAAAAAACTTTTCTTTCAAAAGTCAATGTAAATTTCATGAAATGATTCACAATGGAGATAAGCCATTCAAATGTCGGTATTGTGGAAAGAGTTACATTTCTGAAAACACTTGTAAAAAACATGAACGGATACACACTGGAGAAAAGCCATTCAAATGCCAGTATTGTGAAAAGTGTTTTGGTGACAAAAGCACATGTAAACAACATGAAATGATTCACAGTGGAGAAAAACCATTCAAATGCCAGTACTGTGAAAAAAGTTTCACTTGCAAAAGTCAGTGTAAACAACATGAAATGGTTCACACTGGAGAAAAGCCATTCAAATGCCAGTATTGTAATAAGAGTTTTAGGGTCAAAAGAACATGTACAAGACATGAAATGATCCACATTGGAAAAAAACCATTCAAATGCCAGTACTGTGAAAAAGAGTTTTATTATTAAACAGAATTGTAAACGACATGAAGTGACCCACAATATTGAAAACTCATTTAAATGCCAGTATTGTAAAAAGAGCTATAGTAATGAAAGATCTTGCAAACGACATGAAATGATCCACACCAGAGAAAAACTATTCAAATGCCAGTATTGTGAAAAAAGCTTTACTGTCAGAGATAAATGTACACGACATGAAATGATCCACACTGGCAAAAAACCATATAAATGTCAGTATTGTGAAAAATGTTTTAGTGTTAAAGATAAGTGTACACAACATGAAAGGACCCACACTGGAGAAAAGCCATTCAAATGCCAGTATTGTGATAAGAGTTTTAGTGCCAAAAGAACATGTATAAAACACGAAATGATTCACAGTAGAGAAAAACCATTCAAATGTCAGTATTGTGAAAAAGGTTTTACTGAAAAACAAAGTTGTATAGAAGATGAAAAAACTCACACTGACAAAAAATTATTCAAATGCCTACATTGTGAAAAAAGTTTTAGTGTCAAAAAGAAATGTGAACAACATAAAATGATTAACACTGGGGTTTCATCTCCGCCTATAAAAAAGGAACCTCAAGAAGAGGATAATCCGTATACGACAATGGTTTCACTACAGTCTATAAAAAAGGAATTCAAAGATGATTATATGCCACATGGGCCAAAAGTAGAGATGGAAGCTTATACAGAAACCAAAGTCAAAGTCGAGTTAAATGATGACAATGCTCCAGACGTGAGACCTGAGATCTATCCAGTAGCAATGTTTAGAAATGTATTTGCAGACACTGACGATTGACATCTGATAATATAATATTTAAGAAATAGACATTGAGCACAAGAAGAAAGTTCTTTATTTTAATTATTTGATTGGGAGTTATGTTTAAAGATGTTTTTGAGACAGTTATTCTAACTGAAAACTGGTGCATGCATTCAAGGAGACTGCATTAGTTATTATTATATATATATATATATATATATATATATATATATATGACTGAAAACGGGTCTGCCAGTTCATGCATTCATGGAATATTTCTGGAACTTGACCATGTTTAATTGCATGTGGATGGGTCATATACAGAGACTGTCTATATATGTCAGATACTTTATTGACTTAAGAAGTAAGATTCTTCTGTTGGTCTACATGGAGAACAGAAAAAGGGGGAAAACTTCCAAAGAGTGCCTTTTTAAGAAATCTGAACGCTCCCCCTGCAGCCTTTGACTGTGCAATTTCATATATATATATATATATATATATATATATATATATATATATATATATCACGTTATATGGCAGACCATCTATGGTTATGTAATAAGGAAATGCTTTGAAATAAAATATGATTATTAATAATCTGTACTTTACTGCTTCAAAGTGTTTTAAATGAAAATTAAGCATCCTTTATATGCCACCAACAATTAATTAATTAGCAGACACACAAACATTTTTTTTTTCAGTTATTCAATTCATTAACTTGTAATGATGGCAATTAAAGTTAAGGAATCTAAATTTTCATTGCATCTACCTGTAATAGAAAAGCAAGCTAGGAATGCTAGAAACCGTAGTCCGCTTCCCTTTACTTTGTACAGATGACATTCGTCCTATATGCTTATGTGGCTTGTCTTGGATATCATAAGACGAATAGCATCGAACACGAGTCCCTTACCCTTTCCACAGACACCAATGGCTCTTTGAAACACAGTTGAAGCCAGTGAAATGGTTATTTTACGGTTGTAAGCGGAAAGGGTCAGATACCATCTCTAAAATTTACTGAAGGATGTTTCCGAGGGGAATCCGGTGAGATTGCAACGCTTTGTTTACATTAAGTTCACTTCATCTTCACGAACAGTTACCTTAAAAACAATTCATTCCGAGCAGTTGATGTTTATACCCCCAGGGGAGCTTTGTGTCATTCATCACAGTCATCAAACACCAGGTTTTTTTTTTTTTTACCCTCATTTCTTCGTTTTTTGCAAAAGCAGGTACATGTACTTCAACTTCAAAGGCTTTTTTCACTTTGCTGAACAGTAAAACAACAGAAAAGCTGTTTATTGGTGGAAATAAAGGTGGTATTATAACAAGAAAACCAGGAATTAAAATGTGAATAATTGAAGTAAATGTTTTAAAAATAAAAGGAGCTACCGCCGTAGCACTGGCTTTTCATGATTGCATACCACACTTAGAGAACAGATGTCTTTTTTGTATCAAGATGTTCAGGAGCAGCAGCAGCACTTATTGTTTTCGCCATGAAGAAAGGAGACAGACGCCTTCCAGTTCTGTGACAAGTCATCCATGAGTAACACTACATATACATGGACCTGCAGAAACCAGGGTGCATATTCTTAACAAAGTGAAGAGCAACAACATGAATGTAGGTGATTTGATACATTAGTGAAAAGTCGATGAAAAGGAATGAAATGGCTGGCATTGGAGAAAAATCATTCAAATGCCAGTATTGTGAAAAGAGTTTTAGTTTCAAAAGTTCTTGCAAACACCATGAAATGATCCACACTGGTGAAAAACCGTATAAATGTCAGAATTGCGAAAAAGGTTTTATTGGAAAATGGCATTGTATGCAGCACGAAAGGACCCACACTGGAGAAAAACCATTCAAATGTCAGTATTGTGAAAAAAGTTTTCCTGTCAAAAGCTATTGTAGGAAACATGAAATGATTCACACTGGAGAAAAACCATTCAAATGCCAGTATTGTGAAAAAAGTTTTACTGTCAAAAGCTATTGTATAAAACATGAAATGATTCACACTGGAGAGAAACCATTCAAATGCCAGTACTGTGAAAAGCGTTTTACTTTCAAAAGTCTGTGTAAACAACATTTAATAGTTCACACTGGAGAAAAGCCATTCAAATGCCAGTTTTGTAATAAGAGTTTTAGTCACAAAAGAACATGTATAAAACATGAAAAGATTCATAGTGGAGAAAAACCATTCAAATGCCAGTACTGTGTAAAGAGTTTTACTTTCAAAAGTCAGTGTAAACAACATGAAATGGTTCACACTGGAGAAAAGCCATTCAAATGCCAGTTTTGTGATAAGAGTTTTACTTGCAAAAGTCGGTGTAAACAACATGAAATGATTCACACTGGAGAAATGCCATTCAAATGCCAGTATTGTGATAAGAGTTTTAGTGTCAAAAGCGCACGTGTACGACATGAAAAGACCCACACTGGAGAAAAACCATTCAAATGTCAGTATTGTGAAAAGTGTTTTAATGTTAAACATAAGTGTACACAACATGAAATGATTCACACTGGAGAAAAGCCATTCAAATGCCAGTATTGTGATAAGAGTTTTAGTGTCAAAAGAACATGTATAAAACATGAAATGATTCACAGTAGAGAAAAACCATTCAAATGTCAGTATTGTGAAAAAGGTTTTATTGAAAAACAATGTTGTATAGAACATGAAAAAACTCACACTGACCAAAAATTATTCAAATGCCTGCATTGTGAAAAAAGTTTTAGTGTCAAAAATAAATGTGAACAACATAAAATGATTAACACTGGGGTTTCATCTCTGCCTATGAAAAAGGAACCTCAAGAAGAGGATAATCCGTATACGACAATGGTTTCACTACAGTCTATAAAAAAGGAATTCAAAGATGATTATATGCCACATGGGCCAAAAGTAGAGATGGAAGCTTATACAGAAACCAAAGTCAAAGTCGAGTTAAATGATGACAATGCTCCAGACGTGAGACCTGAGATCTATCCAGTAGCAATGTTTAGAAATGTGTTTGCAGACACTGATCAGTGATGATTGATGAATGATAATATAATAAAAAATATACATTGAGCACATGAAGAAAGTTCTTTATTTTAATTATTTGATTGGGAATTATGTTTAAAGATGTTTTGGAGACAGTTATTTTAACTGAAAACTGGTGCATGCATTCATGGAGACTACATTAGTTATATTTACATTATATTTATGACTGAAACCAGATCTGCCAGGACATGCATTCATGGAATATTTCTGGAACTTGACTACCTTAATTGCATGTGGATGGGTCATTTACAGAGACTGTCTACATACCAGGGTTGATTGATAAGTAGTGAGCCTCATATAGAAGGGGTACACATTTTACAAGTATTTTTCTTTATTTTTCAACATGGCCTCCTTGAATATCTATACACTTTTGCCAGCAAGTTTTGAGAGCCTCTATACCACTTTTATAGAAGCCCCTCCACTTCACGTATGATGTCATCATCTGACACAAAGTGAGTACCTGAAATGGCCTTTTTCAATTTGGGAAATAGATAATAGTCAGAGGGAGCAAGATCAGGCGAATAAGGTGGATGTTCTATCAGTTCAAAGCCACACTTGTTGATTGTAGCCATGGCAATGACAGACTTGTGAGCAGGGGCATTGTCCTGGAGGAACAGTACACCTTTCCTGAATTTTCCGCTGCCTCGTGGACATAAACTAACCAAATGACACCAAACTTCGGCTACACACCTTTAAATAGTCAGGGAATAGAAGGGCTGAAAAGGGATATCCCTGCTAATTAACCCCTTCCACACGAGGCTCACTACTTATCAATTAACCCTCGTATATCAGACACTTTATTGACTGAAGAAGTAAAATTCTTCTGTTGGCCTGCATGGAGAACAGAAAAAGGGGGAAAACTTTGTTCTGATCTTCCAAAGATTACCTTTTTAAGAAATCTGAATGCTCCCTCTGCAGCCTTTGACTGTGCAATTTCATATATATATATATATATTGCATAATATGGCAGACCATCTATGGTTATGTAATAAAACGAAACATTCTTTGAAATAAAATATGATTATTAATAGTGTGTCTTTGTACTTTACTGCATCAAAATATTGTCAGTTATTCAATTCATTAACTTGCAATGATGGCACTTAAAGTTAAGGAAAATAAATTTTTTATAGCATCTACCTGTAATAGAAAAGCAAGCTAGGGATGCTAGAAACCGTAGTTCGTTTCCCCTTACTTTGTACAGATGACATTCGTCCAATATGCTATTGTGGCTTGTCTTGGGTATCAATAGACGAATAGCATCGAACACGAGTCTCTTACCCTTTTCACTGACACCATTGGTAACACAGTTGAAGCCAGTGAAATGATTCTTTTACGGTTGTAAGCGGCAAGGGTCAGATACCATCTCTAAAATTTACTGAAGGATGTTTCCGAGGGGAATCAGCTGAGATTGCAACGCTTCGTTCACATTAAGTTCACTTCATCTTCACGAACAGTTGCCTTAAAAACAATTCATTCTGAGCAGTTGTTGTTTATACCCCAGGGGAGCTTTGTGTCATTCATCACTGTGATCAAACATCAGATCTTGTTTTTTTTACCCTCATTTCTTCGTTGTTCGCAAAAGCAGGTGCATGTTCTTCGACTTCAAAGGCTTTTTTCACTTTGCTGAACAGTAGAACACTGGAAATAAAGGTGGTATTATAACAAGAAAACCAGGAATTAAAATGTGAATAATTGAAGTATAAGTTTTTTTTTTTAATTAAAGGAGCTACAACCGCAGTACTGGCTTTTTGTGAATGCATACCACACTATGAGAACAGATGTCTTTCTTGTAACAAGACGTTCAGGAGCAGCAGCAGCACTTATTGTTAACGCCATGAAGAAAGGAGACAGATGCCTGCTAGTTCTGTGACAAGTCATCCATGAGTAACACTACATATACATGGACCTGCAGAAACCAGGGCATATATTCTAAAACTAAGTCGAGGGCAGCAACACGGATGTAGATGATTTGATAGGTCAATGAAAAGTCGATGAAAAGGAATGAAATGGCTGGCATTGGAGAAAAACCATTCAAATGCCAGTGTTGTGAAAAGAGTTTTAGTGTCAAAAGTGCATGTGTACGACATGAAAAGACCCACACTAGAGAAAAACCATTCAAATGCCAGCTTTGTAAAAAGGGTTTTAGTTTTGAAAGATATTGCAAACAACATGAAATGATCCACACTGAAGAAAGACCATATAAATGTTGTTTTTGTGAAAAAGGTTTTAGTGTCAAAAGCACATGTAAACAACATGAAATGATTCACACTGGAGAAAAACCATTCAAATGCCAGTATTGTGAAAAAAGCTTTATTGCCAGAGATAAATGTAAACAACATGAAATGATCCACACTGGAGAAAGACCATTTAAATGTCAGTATTGTGAAAAGTGTTTTAGTGTCAAAAGCACATGTAAACAACATGAAATGATTCACAGTGGAGAAAATCCATTTAAATGCCAGTACTGTGAAAAGAGTTTTACTTTCAAAAGTCAGTGTAAACAGCATGAAATGGTTCACACTGGAGAAAAGCCATTCAAATGGCAGTATTGTAATAAGAGTTTAGTCACAGAGGAACATGTATAAAACATGAAATGATTCACAGTGGAGAAAATCCATTTAAATGCCAGTACTGTGAAAAGAGTTTTAATATTAAACAGAATTGTAAAAGACATGAAGTGACCCACAATATCAAAAAATCATTCAAATGCCAGTATTGTAAAAAGAGCTATAGTAATGAAAGTTCTTGCAAACAACATGAAATGATCCACACTGGAGAAAAGCCATGCAAATGCCAGTATTGTGATAAGAGTTTTAGTTTCAAAAGTGCATGTGTACGACATGAAAGGATCCACACTGGAGAAAAACCATTCAAATGTCAGTATTGTGAAAAGTGTTTTATTGAAAAACGGAAGCGCATACTGCATGAAGTGACCCACACTGGAGAAAAACCATTCAAATGCCAGTATTGTGAAAAGAGTTTTAGTTTTGAAAGAGCTTGCAAACAACATGAAATGACCCACACTAGAGAAAAGCCATTCAAATGCCAGTATTGTGATAAGAGTTTTAGTTTCAAAAGTGCATGTGTACGACATGAAAGGATCCACACTGGAGAAAAACCATTCAAATGTCAGTATTGTGAAAAGTGTTTTATTGAAAAACGGAAGCGCATACTGCATGAAATGACCCACACTGGAGAAAAACCATTCAAATGCCAGTATTGTGAAAAAGGTTTTGTTGAAAAACAAAGTTGTATAGTACATGAAAAAACTCACTCTGACCAAAAATTATTCAAATGCCTGCATTGTGAAGAAAGTTTTAGCGTCAAAAATAAATGTGAACAACATGAAATGATTCATGCCTTCTCAGCCTATAAAAAGGAATTTGAAGAAGAGGATAATAGGACAGTGGTTTCACTACAGTCTATAAAAAAAGAATTCCAAGATGGTTATATGCCACATGGGACAAAAGTAGGAACAGAATCTGAAGTCAAAATTGAGTTAAACAATGACAATGCTCCAGAAGTGAGACCTGAGATCTATCCAGTAGCAATGTTTAGAAATGTGTTTGCAGACACTGACGATTGATGAATGATAATATAATAAATAATAGACTTAGATCATGGGTATAAGATTGAAGTATAAGATTAATAATTGCATGCCTAGCACTGAAATAGAAATGACTGAAGTAAAAACAATGAACTTTTTTCTCTTTATATTCCAATTTTTTCAAAGTGTGAGTTACAGAAACTGTTTGGTAGTTAGCAGGTGTTAGAATATACAACTCTGCACTTCGGTAGCTGAATGTAAGGTGGTTTAAAGCAAAGAATATTTTGCAAATCGATGGTAGCAAATGAAACCACATAAAAGTGGCATTTTTATAGAAAACGTAAATGGTTCAATAAAAGATACATTTTTAAACATTTGTCCTTGGGGGGGGGGGGGGGAGGGATTTGCGAGACAATTAATTTTTTCGTTCCGTTTGTCTGTTAATTCATTTATTAATAAAAATTGTTAAATAATGAGTATTGACCGAATTTACTGATCTATTATCAGTTGAATCGTAATAATGCAAATTTGCTAATTAGGTAACTGAAAAATAATAACGGTGGCAATAAGAAACGGCAGTAAGACCTTTCTTGGGATCAATTGCAATTATTACCAACTAAGCTAACAAACTCCTTTTTTTCTATTGAGAAAAAATAGGCCCGGAAAAATCTGATTTCCTCAAATTTGGGGTCTGTCATCAATATCGCTTGGTTTTGCTGTCTCAGACCAAGGTCCCCTCCTCTTTTGTCGGAGTAAGTGAGTGTTAAGTACATTATTAACCTGCTTAATTCACTCTTAGCATGTCTAAAAATTCTTAAGCAATGGTCTCCTCCGTCCATGGAGAAGAAATTGAAGTGGACAGTCAAGCCAATTGTCGGTCAATGAGAACAATAGCCACAAGCGTCATCCACTTGTGCCACAGGTTTTGTCCTTAACATTGCATGGACGCAACGCGGGCGTTGTCTTTGTGATTTAAACAGTGAGATGATTTATGCGAGATAAATTTGGCCTTTACAAGGGATTTAATTAATTTCCCAAAGTATAACATGTCCGGGGCCGAACGCTCCCATAAAGTCAACACAGGATGAAGTAGAAGTGTCATCTGTTGATTTATGGTTGGGTTTTTGTGGTTGAGAGGAGTGAATAACATTGTTCTTGACAAAACAGATTTTTCTCCTGGTACGTTGTTGCCACAAATTTATCTTATATCTAAAATAAATACTGAAATCTATCTCCACTCTAATGAAATAATGTCATTATTAAATGATTAAATCGACAATATGTTCACCACAGAGGGTAAAGTTTGTTGCATAAAGATGTTTTGCGTTCATTTGCATTATTTAATTTGTGAATGACACCGAGAAAAATTGGATACATCTCTATTTAACCCTATTATAGGGCCTACTTTAATTAATATTGCTACACAAGTCAGGGGCGGATTTAGGCCGTCTTCTGGGTCTTCCAGAAGACGGCCTAAATCCGCAGACCGTTTTCTGGGTCTTCCAGAAGACGGTCAGAGTTTCAAGTTTACATTGATGGGTATCGATTTTTTCTGTCGGAAGACGGTCAAAAATGGAGGAAGGGTCAACAAAGTTACTTCGGAAGACCGTCAGTAAATATATTTGAATCCGCCCCTGCAAGTGGGAGCTACGGCAGCTCAACAAGTGGAAGATAGAAATTCCTCAATTCTTCTACAGTGTATTCCTCCTCCAAAGTCAGTCTGGAATTAATGATATGTCGTTTTTATTTCTATTTTATACATGTAGACCTTTACAACACCATAACATACACTGTGATTCTATGAAATTAACGTCTATCAAGTGCTGACGTTGTTTCTGTGCCGGGGACAAAAAACTGTCCATTTTCAAAACTACTTTTTTTCCCCTAAGATTATCATAAATCGAGCAGTGCATTGCCCTGTTGTATGAAACATACATCGTATAGCGTCATTGTTGCCTGGCAACCGTGATATTTTAAACACTTATCAAGGTATCCTCCTCCTTGAATATATATTTTAATAATGTATTGCGGTGTTCATGAAAAAACGCCAATCCTTCGTTTAATATACCTGGACACTGGATGATTTGGGAACACTATTCTCCTACAAAGATGTAAAATGTTTATGAAAACATTTAGGAAACAATGCCTGTTATAGACTGCGCTCAGTGAAACAAATTTTACATAGGTGCCATTTGTGAAATTCTTTTTTCATATATATGTTTGTGTTGAGATTTCCATTGTGTTGAGATTTCTTTTTTTTTTTTTTTTTTACGTTTGTTCATGATTAATTATATCATGCTGTGTTTTACAGTATTCTAGCTTACGACCTGTTTATGTTTCTTGTCCTCCACCTTTCTTCACATGTTAGCAAACGCGAGTTAATAAAATAATAGCATGTTTTTCAAAGATCCATCATTAAATTGTTGTCGTACAAAAGTGGTTCACCTAAAACCTATGACCTGTGCACTTAAGGGTACATTAAGGTGATTTTACCAAGACAACGACGCAAGCCCGAAAGCGCGCTAAACGACAAAGGCACGTGGACAGCCATAAAATACGTTTAAGTAGGAAATTGTCAAAATAAATGATGAGCCCTGTGTCTGTAACAGGTATAAAACCATAAGCATATTAAACTAACGACTCTATTTCTCACCCAGTCAGTTTGGATCTTCTTCCTCCAGTAAAGATGTCACCGAAATTTGGAGCGCTGTTGGTTGTCCTGTTGGCAACTTTATCCTCAGTAAGCAGCGAGCCCGGTGAGTCCTCCAAGGACGCTTTAAGGTTTCTCATACTCAGTTTCTCCGTTGTTGTTGAGTTGTGTTTTTTAAGCCAAATACTTGTTTTCACCGAGCCACTTCAAGTTTTAAAATTAATTAAAACGAATCGGGTCCATAATTTAAATTTAAAATAATAATAATAATTTTGTATCACGGTGTCTGCTGATCTACGCTTCGAGACGAATATAAGATTGAGAGCATATGTTATTTTCAAACAATGCCGAAAGAATCTGAGTGTCAAAAAAAGATTTTGACGCTTTTTCTATTTTCAGAAAAGAATTGTTCTTACTATGGCGAGTACTTGCGAGATGCCAGCGACCGTTGTTATTTCTACCAGTGTGAGAGCGACCTAACCCCTATACGTCAACGCTGTGCCCCAGGAACCACGGTGAAGGACGACTTTGTGGCCACAGAGAATGACGCCAACCCCTGCCAGGGACCGAATTTGGTAAATACTCAGCCACACCAACGCCCTCCCAGTCTAGTCCAATGGACCTAGCGCCTCTGATCATGATATGTAAATGATAAGTTAACTGTATGTATCTGTAACTTTAGGTAAAGATAAGATTATTAAAAGATTTATTTAGCCAGTAAATGTATGAAATACACTACACCAGGAAGCCATAGCCCTGTGTAAACGGTCCTGTGTTAAAAATGTGAAGAGAAGTAAGAGTTAAATGCGTTTGAAGGCGCATTCCCGTAGATTTTAGATCGATCTATCCCCGTGGGGAGTCTCACTAGATTACTGTCAGATAATCCGGCTTAAATGTCCGTCCCGCCTACTACAAGCTGTAAGGGGGTAATTAACTTTGGTGCCTGCTTGGCTGACAGCTATTTAGCGTGAACCCCCAGGGAGTTTGGATCGATCTAATCTCTGGGAATGGGGTCTAAGAGTTTGCGTTAAAAAGGAATGTTTACAGCTGATAGATAAAAGCTATATAGAATCTTTTACTTCCCTTGAAAAGTGGGAAATTACAAATATAGTAACATATTTATAAAACTTGGAGCAACTGTTAAATATACACCGGTACACCATCAAAAATGAACCGCTCGAATGAGAAAAGGAGTTCTTATTAACTTACGGTCATTGTGAAGGGTACTTTGATTACATGGTTTGTTACCTTGTTCCAATGGCAACATAGAATCCATCGAGTTTTTGAAAGGCCTAACAATAAAGATGTTTACTTTCAGCCGTGCACGTCAGACGGGACGTGGTCTGATTGGTCAGATTGGGGCGAGTGCAGCGTCACCTGTGGAAGTGGAGTGCAGAAGAGCACACGTGACTGTCTACCCGCTGGCGCCACCTGTGATGGAGACGCAGTCAGAACGCAAGAATGCCGCAGAGTAACTTGCGGTAATTTACTGTTTTACAGTTAAATGGTTTTTACAGTTAATCATGACAACGATTGCCCATTTACCAGAAACACTCTAACAAAAATGTTTTTAGAGCCTGGACTAACATGTCCCTCAGAAGATTACCGAACCGTTATCAGTCTATGTCCAGAAGGATGTTGGCCATATCGAGATCAAATGACTATATTTATACTGACATAATAACATGCGTTATACTAACTTGAAATGACCAATTTTTACTAAAATTCAAATTGAAAAACCTAACAAAACTCGCTGTTGTTCACCTTAAAGCAAAATGGTGCAGTACTATTGTCACCCTCCTGTAGATGATATTTTTTATACTGTCTAACGCGGCAGTGCTAGGGTATTTTTTTAACAGAGGCCAAGGCATTATACTTTTTCAAAAGTCTTGATCCAACCTATTTTTGGAGGTAACTGTAGGTCGAATACATTGTCGATGTTCAAATGGTAACTGGATTGAAACGTTCTGTGTTGTGCCAACCAGGTTCATGGCTTCTTCGGCGCTTGTCCATCCTTCTTATAAGGACAACTATGACTATCTGACTTGCGATAATTAACAGACCGTGAATTTCTGCAGTTTGCAAAAGCAGTTTATTCCTTATTATTGATATCTGGATATGTGCTTAATTGGCTGACCGGGTTGAAAACTATGAAAAAATATCAAAGAATCAGAAGGACACCCAAACATTGTTTATCGGTCTGTCAGGAGGCGGAGAGAGTGTAACTTTATTGTCGCCGTGCAATGATCGCCATTGGTTGCTGCGATGGTACAGAAAACTAATAGCAGATGCTAACAGATTACGCAAACATCGCTGAAAGGTCGCTTTGCTTCCCAATGCTATATTATATTATATTATATTATATTATATAAGAACAAAAAAGTAATGCTCATTTTCAGACTGTTTTTCGTTGAGTTACGTTGTGTTGGACCAACAGTGGAGAAGCCTGAATTTTACTCGATTCGACGGTGGTGAACCGAAACACTGCGACAGGGACGGATGGGCCAGTCAGTGGTATCGGTTCTCCGGGGCAGCCGGGACCAAAATGCCAAACTGGGTAAGAACCTCAGCAGGTTGTGTGTGTGTGTGTGTGTGTGTGTGTGTGTGTGTGTGTAGTGGGGGGTTGGAGGGGGGTTTAATGTAACAATAAAACTATTCATAGAGCAAGCACTTGCGATTTATAATACTACAGATCTAATATTAACTTCATTACACACATACTGTAATGATTGCATTGTCAGTCTTTGAATACAATTTTAAATCTGAAGTTCACATGTGGGTTGTCTGTCAACATTCTTGTTTATAAAGAGGCAGAAACTCTACCCTTTACCAGGGTGGCAGATATCATAGGGAACATTGGAAAAGCCAGAGAATGAAATGACTGTCTATTTATCTAAAGACATATCTGTCAATATCTTGTGAAAAATCAATCTGTCTCCCTGGAAGAGGGCACAGAAACGTCATGAATTGCCTACCCAAAGGCCAGGATCGTCAATGAGATTTTGCACTGTGTTAATTGGTCGATTTTTCACAACCCCACAAAATTCATAACCAATGTCTGGATGAAACTTGGCAATGTGCAGGAAGTCGTGACGTAGACTAGGTCCCCATACTGGAACGATTTAACAGGATCGAACCATCTCCAAGGTGTTTAATTCTCGCTAGATTGCTGTCAGTTTAAGCGGCTTAGATGTCTGGCATGCCTACTGAAGCTGCTAAACGATAATTAACTACCCCCTAGCAGACATTAAAGTCGGTTAAGTTGATAGCAATTTATCAAGAATAATCCCCTCTCGGATAGATCGATTCACAATTAGTACGACAGGATCTGGGAATGGTCCCTTAAGTATCAGATCACACGGTTTGATGAGAGACTACCCAAAATTAAAAAAAAAAAATAGACAAACCTATCTATTGGCCATGTCTGCAGACGAGCATTAATTGTTCTTTACCTCCTCTGTTTATCTTTATGTAGTGCGTGCCTGACTTTCAATGCGGAACCGACGCCCCAGTGTGGATAAACGGCGCTGACCCCGCACCGGAAGATGGCGCTGTCGACCGTCAGGCATGCGCACACTGGACTGGCAATTGCTGCAGGTGGTCTATGAATGTGCAAGTTCTCAACTGCGAGGAGTATTTCCTGTATTATCTACCACCAACTACTGTGTGTTCGCTTGTCTATTGCGGCGAAGATTAAAGACCTCACCAAGTAGAACTGATTAACGACAATTAGAAACGATGATGCTAATACCTTTTAAGGACGAAGACAGCGTTTGCCAGAAACGTGGCTATCTTCCTAACAATGCCATACCTACATATAGGGTAGCAATAAAATATTATTTTAACAGATGTTCATTTCATACAGCATTGGTCAAAAAGGTTGTCCCACCCCCATTTCCATGTACTTTTATTTACAAATGATCACCTAACAGCTGTTTATTTTTAGAAATAGTGTTTTTAATTACGTATAACGTGTCTAACATGATTAATGGTTTAAAAACTACAAAATAGTGGTGAAAACATACATATTTTATACCATTTTGTAAAATTTATAAGAGGTACCCCCTCAAATCGACTGTTTCACTGTGACTTCTAAAGATGATCTTTAACGAGCACACCCTAATGCTAATTGTGTGTGAATTGAGTGATATTTGATGGCACCTTTTCAATTTTATAGACATTTCTTTACATCTGTAGAAATAACAGTGAAACAGTCGATTTGAGAGGGCACCTCTTATAAATTTTACTAAATGGTATAAAATATGTATATTTTCACCCCTTAAAGATTGCATTTATTCATTAGATCTAATTAAGCTTTGTCTGATGGAATATGCCTGGGTTTTCATAAAACCAGCTCTATTTTCAAACTATCAGTGTTTCAGTCATGGTAGGGGTAACGTTGAAGTGGAAATTTTGTAAATTGGCATATCTTTGGAAATTTAACTCATATAAAGAATTTAACACACGTTGCTGTTGACGCCAAAGAGGGCTAACGAGCTATGGTGTCTTAACATGTATGTGAGTAGTGGACTTAGTTTTAGGGTATAGAGAATACCTATATATATATATCTCCTTATGTAACCAATGGGTATTAAAATAATGAAATGAATAACGGATGAAATAAGCTTTTTTTAATGCAACAAGTTGATAAATCTTGGTCGGTTGAAGAAATAGCCACGCCCCCCCCCCCCCCCCTCGTCTTCAAACTCAAATATACCGGATCTCGATTATTTGAATAGTCTGTAAAAGTTGGTTGCACAGTCACTGTGTTGTTTACTGTCTGTATGACCTACAGTAATCTCATTAAGATACTTCTCTCATCCTGCTAGCAGAGTAAAAACAAATGGCAATGCTGCACACCACGTTTCACAATGGACTGCTTCCCCATATGTTCATGAAACAGATTGAACCGTGATTTGACCGAAAAGGCGCCCTCGGCTTTCAAGTTGACTTGTGACGTCGATTTGTGTCTTTCTTTTCTGGTTGTTTTGATACCCGCTCCTTATATACAATCGGCAATCCTCGGCTCATTCCGCAAGCTCCATACTAACCTCGGATGTGATAGGCGGAGAAATATGCACCAAATCCATGCATTTTGTTCGCCGGAAATGCCTTCTCACTCAATTCGATTATTCAGCTCATAAAGATGGGTGTCAATACCCCTGATTTTTATGATGCTTTACAGTTTGCCAAACAATGCACTAAGATTGACTTTGATTTAAAGGATAAACAGATACAGACGTTGAAAGAATTATGGTCTAAATTAGCGCGAGGTTGAAAGTAGTTCCTTCCCAACAATCAACAATCAAATATGGATGCCTCCGTATCACGTCCGAGGTCATTGTCGAGTGCGGAGACATCCGAGTAGTTCCGAGTGCCTTATATACCTGTTCGTACGGACAAATGAAAATTAAGGTTTGGATAAATAGGGAGCAACACCGATTTGTTGAAAATTGTATGGTCAATTTCTGCCATTTTGTTTGTGAATGCAATAATCCAAATCACAATATGTAATAAAATTGTGGTGGCATATTTTTCTCTTTAATTGATTAATACGTCATTAACAAATTTGCGGAGGTAACAAAATCAAATTCAAAACAGTTAGTAAAAAATAAAAAAGGCTTCATTTTTTCTGTGCTAATATCAGCAAGAAATATTGTGCCTAATTACAGGTATGTTGTAAGCAAAACCCGTTGTCCATTCGCAATATAGACTTTAAAAAAAGAAAACACGCTTTTACATTTTCCTTGGCTTTTTCCTTTGTAAACTTAACTTTGCGTCAAGATAATAAATATCAATGTTAAAAAGCGGGTAGATGACAGTGTGAAATTGGTAAGGTTTTTACTTAATTATCATGAAGTTTATGTAGACCGGGAGACAAGGCGATATATATATATATATATCAACACAAGTATCAACCTTTGAAAAAAGAAAAAAATCGAACGCTTCTTCAATTTAAGCATTTACATGTATAATATAATTTATTTCGTATAAAGGCATTTGCCCAGATTACAAATGTAAATGGTTCATATAACGTAACTATTGCGCATGCGGAGAGCTCATGTACGTGCATTATCCGTTGCAAAAAAAGATTCTCTTTTTCTAAAGGCATAATAAACATAATTAATCAGGTTAATCATCAAATCTCTGTCATTGGAAGACATAAGCTGTCTAAACCTTTGGATATTTGGTTGACAGGTGTACCTGTTTGGTATATATTTTGTTCTTAAGTCCCTGTACATCTCACATGTTAACAAAAAGTGATATTCGTTTTCTATTTCATCCTTACATAGTGTGCATACCCTCTCGTTCGAGGGTATGTTGTCATGTCTACCTTTTTCAATCATAAGATTATGGTTTCCACACCTGAGCCTGGCAAAAGCAGCTAAGTGCGCTTTCGGGAGATTCAACAATAAATAATTTTCTTTTTGAAATACAGATTTAAATGTACAATACAAATTTAATTTAGACGAGTTCTGTAACTGGCCGTTCCATTCTTGAATGTAGCAATCTTTCATTCTTGTCTTAAAAATTTCTAAAAAATATATCTCATTCTCAACACCCTGATTGTACCATACAAACCCAAAACCATATCTAAAAAGTATTTCTTTAATTTTTGTCGCCCATGTAATGCGACCAGCCTGATCTAATACCAACATAATCTTGTAGCACGCTTTCGGATATCTGCTTTCTTCCATTCTCAGTAATTTAAGCCAGAATGTGACACACCGACTGAAGTAAGTTATAAACAATGGGAACCTACCACAGTCTCCCAAGACCGCTATTGTTGAAGTTGTTGATCCCACGCCAAGAATCCTTTTACAGAAAGCAAGTTGTACCTTTTCTTTATTGTCATACACTTGGTATCCCCAAACTTCTGCACCGTAAAATAAAATTGGCGCGATCATTTTATCAAATATCATAAATGCAATATCAGACCTAACCCTCCCAGTGTTATATTCAAGTTTATCAATCATAATCATTGCCTTTCTTGCTTTCAGATTTAAACTAGTGGTGGCTTTTGTCCAAACGAGCCTTGGCGTTATAGTTAGACCCGGATATTTGTATTGGGTTACAACTTCAACCGGTTGTCCACCAAAGTACCATTTTTCATATTTTCGTAATGGTCCAGAGTGTCTAAAGACCATGATTTTTGTTTTTTTCAAATTTATATTCAGTCCGAAATTTTCACAGAAATTCTGTAAAATATTTATCTTCTTTTGTAAGCCAAATGCAGTGTCATCACAAATAACCATGTCATCAGCATACAATAAAAGCTGACAATTTCATCAATAAAAATAGATTCTTCAATTTATATTGTGTGAACACCACTCTGTGCTCATTATAATGCAGCCCACCAGTCGCAGTGCTTCTCTGTTGCAATCGGGTTTCTCTGGTTTATTTTGCCTTCCTGGACGTTTGATAAACGCCTGTCAATTTTGTCCGTTTGTGTACGAGACCGTGCTCATAAAAAACTTCACCCCTGAGTGAAGTATGCAACTTGATGATCTGTGAAAAAAATCATTTTCTCACTGAGTTGTAAAATGTACTGTGTGTGAAAATCTTAATAAGCAAGTCCTCTTGTAAAATTCACACTGTGCTACAACAACTTTATCTTCTACTTCTGAAATTTAAAATACCCGGACGTGTTCGTGTGGTAATTTCATTTTGTCATGTTTTGTTTACCTAACACACGTTCATGAGCATTTAGGTCATGCAGTATATATAATATTGAAGTCTGAAGCTTATTGAAGCTTATTTTTCTCCTCCCTTCCTCACAAACGGGGTCAGTGAGGTAAAGATCCATCATTTGCACTCGCTCACCTAAGGCCTAGAACGTGTGCACTTCAGAGTACAATGGAGGTGGGGGTAACCATGACAACGACACAAGCCAGCTTGACCTGCCACAACATATATTGTCAAAATAAGTAAGGAGCTATAACAGGCATATAAAACCACCAGCCTATAAAATTAACGACTCTATTTACCACCTAGCCAGTAAATATGTCACGGGGAAGGTTTGGAGTGGTGTTGGTTTCCCTGTTGGTAACTTTATCTACAGTAAGCTGCCAAGTGCCCGGTAAGTTCCAAAGAAACTTCATACTCAGTAGCTCTGTTGTTTTTTAATAATTTTTTTTTTTTTTTGGGGGGGGGGGGGGGGGGGGTTACCCGTCTTGAAGTAAATAAATGTTATCACAGGTGGGACGTGGTCTGATTGGTCAGATTGGGGCGAGTGCAGCGTCACCTGTGGTGGTGGAGTGCAGAGGAGCACACGTGACTGTCTACCCGCTGGCGCCTTCTGTGATGGTAACGCAGTCAAAGATCATATATTATATTATATTATATTATATTATATTATATTATATTATACTTTGAATAAAAGAACAGAAGGAAATGCTCATTTTGCAGACTGTTCTTCGTACGTCATATTGAACCAAAGGTGGAGAAGCCTAAATTTTACTCGAGGTACTGAGCTACACTGCGACAGGGACGGCTGGGTTACTCAGTGGTATCGGTTCTCGGGGGCAGCCGGGACCAAAATGCCAAATTTGGTAAGAATCTTAGTAGGTTGAGGGGTTTTAATGTTACAATAAAACTGCTTATAGGACAAGTACTTGCACACTATAACAGATCTTAAAAATATTAATTTCACTACATGACAATCAAGTCATTCTTTGAATACAACTGACAAATGTCAAATCTCTCACATGTGACTTGTCTGTCAACAGATTTGTTTTGTAAAGAGGCACTTTAGTAGAGTAATTTTAAAACTTTTCTGGATTGCATATCCAAAGACCAGGACGATCGATGGGATTTTTCATTGTGTTGATTGGTCGATATTTCACACACAAAACTCAATGTGTGTATTGGCCGATTCTGGACGCACACACAGAATTACCAATCAATACCTGATCTGGATGACATTTTACAAGTTGGAAGAAATCGTGACTTAGTATCCAACGACATGATTTGATGAGATAACAAAAAGATTCATTTCAGATTCATTTTAGACCTATCTTTTGATGAGAAATTTCTAAAACTGTGGAATATATCGTGAAACCAAAACCTTCCACAAACAAATAATCAACCAGACCAATATGTTTATAAAATTAAATTCACAAGTTATCAACAATAAGACTAATATGCTTGCGGAAATATTTTTAAAATAGACAATTAATAGACAAACCATTCTATCGACCTTTGTTTTTTACTGTTTCTGCTTATCTTTATGTAGTGTGACCCTACTCAGCACTGCGGAACCCACGCCCCAGTGTGGATAAACGGTACCTACCCAGCACCGGAAGATGGCGCTGTCGATCGTCAGGCATGCGCACACTGGCCTGGTGATTGCTGCAGGTGGTCTATGAAGGTTCGAGTGCGCAACTGCGGGGGGGTTTTCCTGTATTATCTACCAACAACTTCTGACTGTTGGCTTGCCTACTGTGGCGAATATTAATATAAGACACGAGGACCTTGTCATGTAAAACTGACTAAAGACATTTCTCTTTAATTTACTTGGTCTTGATTATAAAAAAACTTTAGTAAAAAGTTGATTGCACAGTATATGTTGTCTATTGTGCGCCCATTCTCAAGTTCTGTATGTCAAAAAGTAATCATCTCTGATTTTATACACATTGGCACTTCTTGTATCCTATAATCTCGGCAATAGCAGCAGGCAATGCTGCAAACTGCATTGTAAAACAGACTTCTCTCCTATCTGTCACTGTTCAGACCTGACGCATTTTGAACCGTAATACTACGTACCAAAAACGCGTCCTCGGCCTTCAAGTTGGCTTGAATTGTCGATTCGTATAGATCTATATGTATTTTTTCCTGTTGATTTCTATACGCGCCGTAGACCAATTAAAATTTAGATTTGGACGTAATGGGTCGTTTTTTCCATATATCATGGAAATATTGTACTAAATTATCTCCTAGGCAAAACCTGTTAACCTCTCGCAAAATGACTGCATGAAACAAATAAATAAATTCAAAAAAGCGGAAACATGTTTTGATTTTTAACTTTCTCATTCAATAAAAAACTTTATTTTGCGTCACGAAATTAATGTCAACTATTTCAAAGGGAGAAGATGGCAAATTTGACATTGGTTAAGTTTATCAAACCAATACGTTATTTCTAGGTTTATGGACATGGATGGGTGAAGGAGATTTAAATATCAAAACTGTGTTATTTTTCATAATAGTGGCAGTCAACACAAGTACATTTCGAACGTGTATGGAAACACCAAAATATGTTGCTTTGTTTTTATCTGATAATGCGCTACTTTGCTAAATAGTTTCTTTATAATAAACAAGCTATGTTGACTGTTCAACCCGCCGCATCTGGTCGTCATATACCAGTTCCACTATTTAGTTTCTCGTTAAAAGTTTATCCAAGTATTCCCAATTATATCCAAGTATGCCCAAGTATAACAAATGCCTTGCACAAATGTGTAAGGATATGAAGACAAAGCGGCCAGCGCCAGGTAACACTGCTATGTGTTTTATCACAGAAAAAAAGTGTATGTTTAACAATATCAACACACGCAGAGTAAAAAATATCATTACAATCTGTACATAACCTATCAATATTATGCCTATCTACCATCAGTAATATATAAGTTTGCATTTCAACCTTTATAAGGTGAATTTTATGAGGTGAAGTCGTATCACAAGTCATGAGCACGTATACAATTGTTAGGGCAGTGCTAACCATCTGGCAGTCAAAGTGTATTACACTGCCTCTGGAACTGCCTCTGGTTTCATTCCTTTGCGCAGCTTTTATATAAAACAATGCCGTGAATGTCGAGGCGGATCACTTTCTGAAGGATCACTTATGGAGGTGCCGAGCAAGGTAACGCTCACTTTGTTATCGTAAAACAAAAAACGCACAAACTGCTCAGCTCGTTCAGCATTACGGAATCCACTGCCCCAATGTTTTCTTTGGCGTACTTTCCTGCTGTAATTTTTTCTCGATCGATTTCTCCATAAGCATCTGTACCATGACACGTGCCTTTTGAATTTTATCCTTATTTGGTAACGCCTCCACCATGTGATATCGTATGTGCTCGTGGTCTTTGATGTGATACCGACACTGCGTCAGCGGACACGTCTGTTTCTTTATCATCACCTTTCCGCCGGGTTTTGGCTGGTTTATCTCACCTTCCTGAAATGATAAAGAGGTCTTTGTTAAATGGCTGGCCAGGTCTAATGTGCACCTGTGTACGAGGCGGTGTGTTGGGTGGGTGTGGGTGACGGTGGGATGGAGTGGGTGGGTGTGACTGGGGTGGAGAGGGTGGGTGTGACTGGGGTGGAGAGGGTGGGTGTGACTGGGGTGGAGTGGGTGTGGGTGACGATGGGATGGAGTGGGTGGGTGTGACTGGGGTGGAGGGGGTGCAGCATATTGATAAAGAGTCAGGACGTTAAATATAATAATAGAAGTCTCAGAGCCACCAAGGGGTCCCAAAACAGGATCCCAGGTTGTAAAGATCTTGTAGAACATCTAAATTATTGCATGTATCATTTCGCTTTATTTATTTATTCATCTGTGAGAATAACTAAGTTTGACACTACATATGGCATCGTATCTGGACAGCTGCTCCATGTACAAGAATGTGTCAATGGAGATTTAAAACGAAAAACACAGTGCAATGGGTAATAAAGACACCACTGCACAACACACTTTATAGATGCAAGCACTCTAAATAATTAAATCACAATTGAATGAGCATTTTCTATAAATTCCTTAAAATTTGGCAATTTTAAGTGATGTTTTGTTGAAATTATCCACTTGGGATAATGAAATAACTGTCATTATGCACAACATCTTAATCGAATATTCTAAATTCAATCTAGTGCTTACTTTAATATTGTACCGCCGCAGTTGAGGCAGGGAGACCGCAGACTTGGCGTGGCGGTGGGAATTAACGCTGAACCTCTTCACCCGTTCTTCAAGGTACGAGAGAATCTTATCGCTGGTTTCCCAGTCACGAAACGCTTGCTGCTTCTCCAAAAGACGGATCTTGTTGCGCACTATGGCGTTGAAAAACTTCAGCCCTCTTGGTCTTTTCAGACCCATGCTTGACGGGTTTTCGACTGGGTTAACTTCTAAGTCGGGCAACAGACTATCCCTGCGTTCTGGTTCCTCCGGTTGAGATTTAGCACGCTCGCGCTCCAAAGTTATTTTCTGTAAAGTCGTTATAAGATCTCTTGTAGCTTTTTCTTCCGTCTGAGGTCGCTCTTGTATCACCGGAAGAAATGGTTTCCCACTTGTAACCTTGGAAACCTCTGGGTCGCTCATTCTGCGCATGCCTGTTACTGGAGTGCTCACTGAGCATGTTGGTGATGGTTTAGTAGCGTTAGACGGTGTTGGACTCCCGTTGCTCTTGGTAGGCAGTTCGACAATCGGTCTGTCAATGGACTGGTTACCACCGTCTCCAGTTTTCATCTCCACATCACCAGTATTAAGGTTTTCCCCTGAAGGTGACGTTAGACTCGGTGAATTGGACTGCTTCGTAGCCTCAGCTTGACCCTGACCTTGACCTAGATTCGTTGCACTCACGGACCCGTGTTGTTCCCCTGAAGCAGAAATCCGGGGAGAGGTTTCCACAGTGTCACTCTCCTTGGACACGGGTGGTTGATCCACTTTTGCTGCTGCGAAGATAAGATGCATGGAAGCTCTGCGTGCAGCTTGAGTATTATTATCCTCTCGTTTCAATCGCTCTTGTTCCACTACCTCTTGCCTCTTACGTTCTTTCTCTGCTTGCCATTCTTGCTTTGGTTTCGACAGGAGCGTGTCAATTTCCTGCGAATGCTGCTCGAAAGTTCTCGGCTTTGGCTGCCCGGAATCAATGACACCCTTCTCCTTCATGCGTTTTATAACGTCTTTCAAGGCAGTTATGCTGCGAGGTTTACGGCTATCCTGGCTAACGTCTTTGCGTAAAGTACTTGGAAGCATATTTTTCCTTTCCATTTTCTTTCTGTGTGCCCTGATACCTTCCCGGCGTTTGGCTTTTTCCTCCATTATGTCTTTGTAGAATACCGCACCGGGCACCATGGGTTCTATTAGCGGGGCTCTGTCCCGTACGAACCATTGGAGAAGTTTATGTATAAGCACCTCTTTATCCGGAAGCTCCTTTGAGTTTCTTAGTGGTGTCGTTTTCTTCGGTTGCGTCTCCTCTTGGTGATGCAATTTGAACGCTAGATGGCGTAGAAGTGGTACTTGACTCCCTTGGAGGGAGGTGACTCGCGACATGAGCTTTGTTTCCGCGTGAAGTGTTAGCGTTTCTATCGTTGGTTTGTTTTTCTTTATGATTAGTCGCTCATATGTCTTTAAATCTAAGAGGAAAGCTTGGGTATTTGTAGTGCATATCACTGTAGCGAAGTAAGTGTCAAGATTCATAGCAATCTCAATGTCTCCAATGATTTCTCGGTCCCGCACAAAACATAAATCCATGGATTTACCGTGGAGTTTTTTCTCTGCTGCGGCGTAACCGTCGCGCCTGCGCACTCGCACGGATTCCTGTTTTACTGTTGATTTGTTTGGGTCATCGTTGTTGGAAGAATCCAACCGCTTTCTTTTTGGCCTGCAACGAGAATAAAAAAATAATGACAATAATGAAAGGGAGACAATGCAAATAAGGCGACTAATGGTGAGTCATGTGATGAAAATGTTTGCATTTGTGTGTGGATTTATTTGAATTTATGAAAAAATGCATACAAACAACTAAATACCTGGTTTGCTCTAAAACAGAAAAATATTGTCGTTTTTTTCTCAAATTCTGTACTTCTGCTCACAAGTCAGAATGAATAAAATATGCATCCTACTAACTGTATCTATGTACCAGATAACTGTAACTCATTTTATTCCATGGACTCTTGGTTCCATGCATAAAGACACTATTGCACTGTTAAAACGGTCAAGGATTGGTAAAGGAGGCTCTGTTCAGAAGACACATCAACCTCATATCATATTTCTCTTTCATTACGCCTCCCTATATACTTACATCCAGTCCCCGCTGTAGACGTCTGCGGAGTCCTGGAAGGGGTGTCTGTCCGGGTACTGACCCTTGTGCTTACCTGGCTCCACCACGAACTTTGCCTGACCACTGAAAGGGAAAAATATTTCTGTATAGAATATACAAACACCAACGGTGGCCTTCGTCATTCTTTTTGTACAGCGGCATTTTAGCAAACCAGCAAACACACCTCACTGGTGGCTGCGCTGGGACCATAAGGCTTTGAAGTCTCTCATGGCGTGATGACGGCTAACATCCCATTTCCATAGATTAGATCGACCTACTTTGGATCGACCTAACTCCCTGGGGGTTCGCGCTGAATAGCTGTCAGCCGGGCGGACACGAAAGTTAATTGCCCCTTACGGCTTGTAGTGGGCGGGGACGGACACTTAAGGGGGAATTTCTTACGGTAGTCTGGTGAGACTCCCCTCGGTGATAGATCGATCTAAAGTTGTGGGAATAGACCCTTGGTGTGCTTACTGCTTAAGATGTCAGTCTTCAGGCTCTGATAGAGAAATATAGCCCCTCCTCCGTGCTTCACCCTAATAGCCACACCTAGAGAGGTACTAGGTCATATCGTTTCTTTCATAGTCCTTAGTTTAGAAAAGAGTAATTCTATTTCAGTGAATTGACAAGTTTGTTGTTTATTGCACGGTCCGATAAGCGCTGAACGAGTCCACGGAATAATTAATTATTAGAACAATAAAGGACTCAACACAACATTTTTAGTAACAGACTACTAACGCATCCTGTGGTCACAGCATATACAACCATGGGTATTTTGACTTACTTCAACATAAAGTGCAGTCCTACAACAGGCTCCCCCTGGCGGACAATGGGAGTATCAAAGCTGTAGCTTTCTTTTCTGATGCTCATCTTCAGAAGACTTTGCATCTTGGGCGTCCACGTACAGAAGAAGGGGTGGTTCTCTACAAAGTCGTTTTTCTCTTTAAACTCTAGTTCTGCAGCAGCCTGGAAATATAATGTTGTGTTGGTCAACAATTGCTTCCCACGATGAAAGGTGCCAACTTTTACATTGAGCATTTTGATTTGAAAAGAAATCCGCGTAAGGGAACGCCTAAATGCGCACGCACAAGAGACACTGAAGAGATTCATCAGTTTGAAAGTGAGAACAAAATGATCTTTAGCTGCTATTTTGGCAAAATACTTGTGTTTCCAAAACTACATAATCTCACCTTCAAGCACCTGTTGTACAGATCCCTGTGGATTACCAGGAAATCTGTCTCCTCGTCTGTGATGATGGACGCGTTCCTGATGTTGTCCTCACTAATGAGGGCGATTTCCCCAAAGCTCTTGCCTGAACCTGAAAAATTCAAATTTGACAAACAGTGGTTATTAACCCTTCATAAACGTGTCCTTAATTTTATTCCGAAAAAAAAAAGAAAAAGAAAAAAAAACAGTTGTCAATTAAAAACACATAAAATGTTGGTATCACTTTCGACACGAAATATCCTAGAGGAATATTCATTAAAAGTTTTGTTGACCTGGTTATCATGACACAGGCATTTTTTTAATGTAAAATATTTGAACTGCGTTTGTCATTAAAAAATAATAAATATATAAATAATAGAAAATATAAATAAGAACAACTTTTAAAATCCGTTTAAAAATCACAACAGGCACATTATCGCAAGGTCCTTACCAAAGGACACGATGTAGTTCCCGTACAGGCTTCTGTTCAACCGCGGCTTCTTGGGAGTTTTGGCTGCCTTTGAAGATTTTGTAGATTTGGTGGATTTGGAAGATTTTGGTGGCTTTGCCGATGACTTCACGGACAGCGTGCGGTTCTTCGACTGTTTTTCTTCTTCTTCATCATCATCTGCTTCATCATCGTCCGAAATGTCATCCCCTTCTTCATCTCTATCTTCATCTTTTTCTCCATCGTCTTCATATTCTTCCTCCTCCTCCTCCTCCGTCACTCCCTGAGTATTGCTTTCAGTTTCGTTTTCGTCCTGTTCCACATTGTCTAATTCTTCAGCACTCTCGATTTCTTTTTGCTCTTCCTTTTCTTCCTTGTCTTTCAAGGCGGACTCTCCCGATAAGTTTGGGTCAATATAGACTGACACGCTGCCGTTGACTATGATGTAAAAGCTGAAACAGCCATATTTTTTACATAAATACACGAGTCACTTCTAGTGAGCAAAGGGCAAATATACTACAAGACCAAAAACTCCAACAAACAATGCTACTTCCAAAAATTTACATTGTTTAAAGAAAAATACATGGCGCATGTTTGCGTGCAGACTCGCAATTATAAAAAGGTGTACACACACACACACACGCACACACATGCACCTTTTGATTTAATTATCATAATGACTACGACAACTGTATCAAAAATGATTACCTTCTTTATAGCATTGCTAATGTGATATCAAAAACTATTATTATATACCCCAAAAACATGACCACTTCAGGACACGTGTTATAAGGAAATACTGTCTTACCACTCTCCACTCTCTCCTTGCTTTATGACCACGTGGTCTGCGGCGTTGTGCTGATAGTAGCAGTTACGTATTATGTCAACAATCACGTCTGAAAGCGGACAAGTACATCAACTATTAATACGTAAATCTGGTGATAGGTCGATAATAGGAACGTTTATAAACTGTGAGCTGAAGTCAAGCATACTGGTATATCGAAATGTATTGAAATCTCCAAGATAAATTTATCTCTTTATTTATTTATTTATTTATTTATTTATTGCAATATAAACGTGTGGCCCTCTTATAAGTCTGTGGCCTATTGTGCGTGAACTCAATGACAGAGTATGTCTGACAACTGTTTACACAGGGCAGTAACCGAGCTAAAACAAGTTAGCTATGTGATCAATAATTATCGGGTTTACAGACGCCAGACTCTGAAAGTAAAGAAAACTGATTGGAAACGGAAATGTATTGGCCTACTTTATCAGGCCCGTGGCCGGAGGGGGGGGGGGGGGGTCTGGGGGTTCGAACCCCCCTTTGTACCAGGAAAATGTCCTCTTTGGATAAAATTTTATCTGGGTACACGAAGGTTTCAAGGTAAAAGGCCCACAGTTTTTTCAAAAAAAGTACCCCCTATTGACATCGCTGGCTACGGGCCTGTTTGCTATCTTTTGACAAAACTACATATAAAATTAATAATATAAAATAAAATATATTTATGTCACATAATAAAAAACATAATTAAAAAAACCCGATAAGTTTTTTCTCCAATTGACGAATGAACAGTATTGAAATTGATTTTTGATTGTACGGAAGGCAGGTCTCTATACACCTTTTTATCTTTCAATATTTCAGATGAAAATGTGAACGGATCTGTCTAAAATCCAGTACAACCACTTAAAGGTTTGCCGTATCAATAACTGGATGATATAAACGTCAAGGGGGGCTATGTTTGAACCAGCAAGAATGTGCTGAGCCTTAGCTCCAAAACCAGGATCGAGTACATTGTGCCTGTGGGGTAGGGTGGCATTGAATATCAAAAAATATCTTTTATGGATCAATTCGTTAGATTAAAAGAATGCAGATGCCTGCGTCTTTCGGAAGTTGTCAGATTCCCGACAACATGGTTTCACAGGGCTCTCTACGCTGCCATGCTGGCACTTATCCAATACTCCATAAAAGCCAATGCTAATCTTAGTAGAAGTCAAGAGGACTTCATAATTGAAAATGACCAATTAATAAAAACCAAGAGGAAACAAAATCCAAAGAGTAAACATCATTACCGGTAGTAAAAACCTACGTGGATCAAAGTGGCACTTAAAATGTTTTCGAAAGGTCAACGATGAAAGAAAACAAAAAGTGACTTCATAGATGGCCGAACAAAGCGGTATTCATGCTAATACCATTTTCGTTTTTTTAATACTGAAATTTAACCACGATCAAGCAAAAGGCCAACATAGCTTGTAAAGATTATAGTCATACGGGCATATTACATTTCGGCAACACGCCGAAATAAGACCGTCTCCAAGCAAGTGGTGTAAGAATTGTAGAGGCTAATACAGTTCTTTATACAAACATTCCCTCTTTACGTTTAACAATACAGATGACGTGAGAGAGACCCCTAAATGTTTACAGAATTTGAAAATCAATCTTATGAAGTCACGAGGTGAGAGGAAATATTTACACTTTTTCCACTTTCTCCTGTCTGAGAGACCCAATAGCAATTAAGTATCGCCGTTACCCGAGGACTCAATAAAAAGCATTTACGACTCGTTTTTAAGGATATAGGTCACTCTGTACGTTCTTTATTTATTGGTTGTGACATTTGGCATTAATATAAGCAAGCTGAACTAATTTCGCGACATGTTTAACAGGGACCATCCAGCATTTTTTGTGTAATTACTTTACAGGGACAGTGCAATAATAATAATAATAATAATTGGGGGTTACCAAGTTGTCTGAAACACGATACCATGAAAGGAGCAAGTGAAAGAAGGTCCAACAATGTTCCAAAATTTCCGTACCTTTCTTCATAGACTGCAGAAGCTGGCTTTTCTTGCGTAGCCACGGGATGATGATCTCCACCTCGTGCTGTTGCCGCTGATCAGGGCTCTTCTTGATCACATTGATCACGCGCTCGTACATCTG